TCACTATACTCACTATATCCTCCCCAAAGAGCTTTAGCTCACTATACTCACTATATCCTCCCCAAAGAGCTTTAGCTCACTATACCCACTATACTCACTATATCCCTTCAAATATGGCCATCAGATGAAAATGTTTAAGGAATCACATTCATGGTCTTAATTGGTTTGATGAAGCTTAAATGTAAATTCAGTTGAATCCAATTTAGCTTTTATCCTTGCACAATCTACTCTGGAGAGAGTGACCCCGGCATCCTTGAAAAACTTGCCACCCTTGATCTTGATGGGAGCAAGAGCATGACTCAATCGAAGGTGGTTCTCTATGTTTGTATGACTTAAATTTCTGTATCCAATACAGTGTGCACATTCAAAACATTTATCCTAAAGTGGAAGATGGGAGTTTAGGGGCTGTATTGTCTGGAAGTGAAAATCTGTAGTTGTAGTTTTCAAGTGTGCACAGATGAAACCAGTGAGTGATTTGGTCTAATCTGTATTAGTGCTACAATTGTTTTAAAAGCCAAGAATGTATATATATTTTTTCCTTTAAGTTAAAGATGTGCTGAGGTAGGAGTGAGGATCCATCAGTTCTACAGTCTGCTCTCAACAGTTCACAATGAGCCTCATCTACATATGAAATGCTAGGCTATACACTGTTGCTACTTTGATAGCAACTTTGATGTGAGTTAATGAGTGCTATCTCTTAGAATCAAACAAAATTGTAGGAAACAACTCATCAACTAGAGATTGATGAACATCAAAACAACGCCCAAATTAGCCAGTTGCTTTTAAGCTGGGGACATAGGCAAAATAGGGAATAATTTACAAAGGTTTAGTCCTAGAGAATAAGGACTCTTTTTGCTAAACAAGGACCTGGAAACATATGCTGGGAAACCTTGTTTTAATGGACTATTTGGGGGGAAAGCATGTCCATTATTCTCCGTAGTCTGAGAAATTGAACAGTGCGTCTCTGTGGCAGTGAATCATTAGGCAAGTAACAGAATTTTGCATAATGACATTATGCAAATAATGCAAGTTAAATCATTTGTGTAAACATGTCATTACATAAACTGTAATGGAATTTGGTCTGTTGTATGCAGAGCCCATTCCACTGAGGTCCAGAAAATTGAGGATTTGCTAGTACCTTCCAAACAGCTAGTTAGCTACATACAGTGGCTGATAGAAGTTGAAAAACAGTTTTCACTTTCTATTTTTATTTGCAGAACTAGAAACGGGAAGTCATCATGGACCTGACAGCTGTTATCTATGGCTAGTGAGATTAAGATTGTCTAAAGCAATGTTTCTCAACCTTGGCAACTTTAAGATATGTGGACTTCAACTCACAGAATTCCCCAGCCAGCCATCAATTCTGGGAGTTGAAATCCACATATCTTAAAGTTGCCAAGGTTGAGAAACACTGGTCTAAAGCGTGCTAGTAGAGTGAATTTTCATGAAGATGCTAAGATTAAAAGAAGACCTTTCTGTGGCCACCTTTCATTCTTATACAGTACTTATGCACTGGCCAACTTTGACCCACCAGAGAACAAAGTGAGAATCATGTTTATTTCTGCTGAGGCTGGACAGAAGTCAGCCAGAGAATAATGCACATTCATTCAAAAAGTACCTAATTTTGGCCTCCCCTGCTGCTGGAGGGGGTGGGGAATATGTCTAAACAAAGCTAAGACTTGTCTGAGCTGAGGTGCAGCAGCCTTTATTGCCTTTTCCCTCCTGGAAAGATCTGCCAAACCCAGGATGGACAACCACGGGGAAGGGAAGAGGCCAGGTTGTAGTTAAAGAGAGGGCACTGGCTTTGCAGTCAAAGAGAGGGCACTGCTGACTGTTGGGAACAGGGGTTTATTTTAGGGCACGGGGAGGGGAAAGGAATCAGCTTTGAATACTCTGAAATATATGCCAATGGAGAAGTCTTTGCCTACTGCCTTTTCTGTCCCTGTTAGACAGCCTGTGGTAGGTGAGTCACCTCTGACTGAAACGTTTTGAAATAGCTAAGCTTGTTGGAAGCCTACTTGTAAAATAACCAGGACAGGACAGAATGTTGCTGTCTTAGTTGGACCCAGGCCATCTTGATGACTTTGGCCATGCAGTCCTTGGTGTTTGCTTCTGCGAAGGTTTTTAAGGCACTAAGGATGTGCTGCTCGGTAAAATCTGAGCTAGTCAAGCTTATATTGAGCCCAGGGGCTCCCTAGAAAGGTTGGGCAGCTCATGGGTCACATTCAGCCCTGAGCTCCTTTTCTTGATCCCCCCAATTCCTCAAGATCCTCCTGCTGAAATTGGTTGCCCAACAACTGAATAACAATGACATGATTTCCTGCAGATTTTCTGCAGGGAAATTGAATAAAATAGGGCCATTATTTACTTATGCCTTCCTTAGCCATTCACACTTTTGAACAATAGTCAAATTAAGCCAAAATCAGTGAAAAAATATCCAGTGATTTTGCAATATGACTAGCCTGTGCCAAATAGAGTAATAATAAGATGTAGCTGCCAGCCACAAACAGCTTTCCTAGCCCTATAAAAATCTAGGGAAAATCCTATTACACACTGTAAGTTATGTAACCATATCAACTACATCTGTTTAATAGAACTTAGGGAGGACAATTCTCATGTTTAACTTCCATAACCTTTAGCCAGCTTGGCAAATGGTTGGGGATTATGGGAACTGTAGTCAAACCATATTGATTGCACCAGTGTGTTACCCTTATTGCAGTAAGTACCTTCAAGCTGTTTAAAACAATAGATGCCACACAGGAAAAACCTTGCTCTTCTACCCAGGAAATCATACACAACTTTTAATGCAGATGTTCATGTCTTATCGTGGGGAGCCATGTTTAAATGCACATCACTAGACTTCACAGTGTTTCATGCCTTTCTGGTTCACATGTTGCCTTTAGCACAACAGATTTGTGGGTAGACATCCCTTCCAATGTTCAACATGGTGTTTTCATACTTTTTTTTTCACTTGTCCGTTTTGACATATCTGTTACAAAGTTGTGAGATGACTTTGCATCGGTCACAGTTTCTCAGCTTCACCTACCTTAACAGGCTCTTTTGAGGATGTATAAGAAAACTGCATAGTGTTTGGCACTCGGGGAAGTACTATAAAATATATATTGTTGTTATTATTGATATTGTTTTTAGTTTTATTGTTGCCGCATAATTGAGATATTCCCTTTCATTTCTTTTTCTGGCTTAGAAGAGATCAAACCATATCCAGCAAATGGAATAAATACAGTCTATCCAGAATCCCGCTATACATCTGACTATTTCATTAGTAAGTCCAATTCCTTTTCTTTCTTTTTTTCCCTTCCTGCTGTATAGACCCAACAGGAAGATACATTGATTGCGGAGTCCTTGGGGTTCTCTGAGCTTGGTTGTTTTCTTGCAAATGTTTCGTTACCCAGCTAG